GCTGGCGCCGAAGGCTCGTTGGGGGCTTCACCTGGGTGTGTCGTAGGAGAGCAAGGGCTCGGAGGTGCTCGACCTGACCGACAGCAAGGTGGTCACGTCGGTCGAGGTGATCTTCTACGAGACGCTGTCGCTGGAGGTGTGGAAGGCGTAGTATGGGCCGGGGTCGGGGCGGACGCAGGCACACCCGCCGACGGACACCTCGACGGCGACGGTTCCTCTGCTCGTCGAAGTCGACGAGCCTGCTGCTGAGGATGTTGTGGAGGTTCTTCCACCTCCCCCTGTTCTTGCTCCTCCCTCTCCCCTCGCAGAGGTGTGAGCATGGGGTGTGAGCATGGGGTGTGAGTATGGGGTGTGAGCATGGGGTGTGAGCATGGGGTGTGAGCATGGGGTGTGAGTATGGGGTGTGAGCATGGGGTGTGAGCATGGAGTGTGAGTATGGGGTGTGAGCATGGGGTGTGAGCATGGGGTGTGAGCACGGGGTGTGAGCATGGGGTGTGAGTATGGGGTGTGAGCATGGGGTGTGAGTATGGGGTGTGAGAATGAAGTGAGACTATACCGCTGAGATGGAATTAAAGCGTTAGTTCCAACCTGTGGAACAAAGCGGAGGGAGGTGGAGGATGGCAGCAGCTGCTGCATCCACCGTTTGATCTCGCCTTCATCCGACGGCTCAGAGAAGAAGATGAAGACTTGCGTGGATGCCTGCCTGCCTGCCACACCACAGCCACAACTGATGAGAATGAAGACCACAGCCATCCATGCGCTGGGAGTAATTCGGAAATTTTTGCCAACTATGAGGTGGGCAGGCAGGCAGACTGTTTCACAGAGATGGTCGCACTGCGCATGCCAGCAGTCACGTAGATGCGGCACGGCATCATCCCCGGACATGCTCCCGCCGCGACCATGCGAGGCTCAGCTGGAGGTCACGTTACAACAGCTACCGTAATCGCCAGGCCCTGCGCCTCGCTATAGTCACGTACAGGTCCGGGCAGCGCGCGATATTGGTGACGACGTGTTTGCAGCACGCGCGGTAGAAGTCGCACGCCGCGTCCGCCCCCACGCCGGCCGCCAGGCGCGTCTTCACGCGCCCTGGCGCCAGCCGCTTCACGAAAATCATCACCGCCTGCTGCGCGTCGAGCGGCTCCGTCGCTTCACTCTGCTCCTCTTGCGCTTCAATCGCACTCACTTTAGGGTCGCTCATTCTAGCGTCGCCCATACTACTGGCGTCGCACACTCCAGAGTCGCTCATTCGCTCAGGCTCGCTCTAAGAGAATCAGGAGACTGAGGCAATTGAGAGAACGACGGTGTCTTGATTCTTAAACAGCAATGGCGGCGGACGCGGCAGTCACGCGGTACGGGTAGGCAATCGTTAAGGGTGGTACGCGGCGAGAAGGATCGACATATGGACAGCTCAGCTGAGCTGACGTGTCAAACAGATACGAACTCCCAGGCGCCTTGGGATTGGCGGAAAATTTGAGCAGGCTGACTGGTCAACGGCACTGAAGAAAATGGAAGGAACAAGCAGTAGTTTACCAGCTTGTCAGGAGAAAGTCTATTTGGGTGTGGCTTAGTGTGAGGTTCTTTGCGTTCTACAGCTGTCAAAAAACACAATCAAACGGTTGAGGTATTGCAGTCCCTCGTGCATTCCCTTAGGCATTTCCCCGCTGGCTCGCGAAAGCATTTGGTTCAATCGCCAATCTCGTGATGTTCTCGAAGCAGCTCGTTCGCCAATGGGCTTCGAGTTTGTTTCTGGTTGTCCAGTGGGATCTTGGCTTTGGAACACCGACAATCGTGTTTCCCGAGAAACAGGTTGACGACATAGAGCGAACGTCACAAACGCAGGCGAAAGTGGGGGATCCGTTGGCGGGAAGATAATGTAGGGGTGCGCTACCAGACAACCAGATTCCGCTGTGACGTGCAGCAGCGGCGGAGGGAAATCCGCAGAACCGCAAAGCAGCAGAAACGAATAGCTCACTTGCTTTTGCTAGCTTCAGTAAAGACTGGTGAAGTGGGATTCTTAGATTCCTCGAGTTTTTTCGCCACCAAGTGCTTCGAGCACAGTTCACGACAAGGTAGTTGGCGCATGCTATCGCATACTGTCGCCTACGGTCGCATACTGTCAAATACCATCCGCCATTCGCCATGAGCGAGAGCAGCGCAGCGACGGCCACGGCGACAGCGGCAGGCGTCAGCTTGAAGCAGCGCCGGGCAGCGGCCGACTCATCGCAGCCGTCCGTTACGCCAGACGCCTGCAACACCGGCGCGTTGAAGGACAAGGCGAAGCCACGTGGCGCGTCGCCGCGCTGGCGGTCCGGCTGGCTCGTGCTGGTGCTCGTGGTTCTGGTGGCGGCAGCTGCCGGCGCGGGTTATTACTTGTGGCGGGAATACAGCGAGTATCTCGCGATCGACGACGACGAGCCCGAGGCCGAGCCGCCGGTCGAGAAGGTCGCGACGCGGTCGAACCCGCGGAAAGCCCAATGGCAAGCCGATGTAAGTTGCTGCGTTTCGTCGCTGGATCCGTCGACGACGTGCGTCGCCAGCCGCAGCGTTCGTCGCAAGGCTGGCGACAAGTGCCTGCGATCCGTTATTGTCAACCCATCGATTCTCGTACTGTCTGCGTCTCATCGTGTTCGTCGTCCCTAAATTCCACAACAGTTAACTCGGATATACATGATCTGCACGCGCCTCTCATACGTGACGCATCACACGCACGCGTGCACACACACACACACACACACACACACACACACACGCACGCACACGCACGCACACGCACGCACACGGTGCACGCACGCACGCACGCACGCACGCACGCACCCACGCACGCACCCACGCACGCACACACGCACCCACGCACGCACCCACCCACGCACGCACCCACCCACGCCCGCACGCACCCACGCCCGCACGCACCAACACCCGCACCCACACACACACACACACACACACACACACACACACACACACACAGGGCTAGATAGCAGTAGCTGTGGAGCGTGGTGGAACTGGCCAAGTACAACGGGTCGCAGAAGGACCTTCCGCTGCTTCCCATGCCCATCCCTGTCCCCTCGAATGTCCTGCCTCACTATCTCCCAAGTAGTTGTCTCGTTTGTGGCTGTCTCATTTGTGACCGTCCCGCTTATGACTCTCTCGTTTATAACAGAAGCTGTGGAGTGCGGAGGAGCTGGCCAAGTTCAACGGGTCGACGAAGGGCCTTCCGCTGCTGCTCGGCATTCTGGGGTAAGTGGCGCGCGAGTCATTTTTGGGGTGAGTGGCGCGCGAGTCATTTTTGGGGATTGGTCAGATAAATGCGTGGGTCAGTGGGAACTGGGGAGTGCCCAGGCAAAGGCCAATGCAGAGTGGGCAGTCCATGCTAGGTTTGAGCGAAGAGTGGGATTTGTGACATGGCTACCGTGACCATGTTAAATGGGGCTTGTTAGATGGGGCTTGTCCATGGGTGCTGTTGGTGTAAGTGCAGCTCTCTTGCTGTTGGTGTAAGTGCAGCTCTCTTGCTGTTGGTGTAATTGCAGCTCTCTTGCTGTTGGTGTAAGTGCAGCTCTCTTGCTGTTGGTGTAAGTGCATCTCTCTTGCTGTTGGTGTAAGTGCAGCTCTCTTGCTGTTGGTGTAAGAGCAGCTCTCTTGCTGTTGGTGTAAGTGCAGCTCTCTTGCTGTTGGTGTAATTGCAGCTCTCTTGCTGTTGGTGTAAGTGCAGCTCTCTTGCTGTTGGTGTAAGTGCAGCTCTCTTGCTGTTGGTGTAAGAGCAGCTCTCTTGCTGTTGGTGTAAGTGCAGCTCTCTTGCTGTTGGTGTAATTGCAGCTCTCTTGCTGTTGGTGTAAGTGCAGCTCTCTTGCTGTTGGTGTAAGTGCATCTCTCTTGCTGTTGGTGTAAGTGCAGCTCTCTTGCTGTTGGTGTAAGAGCAGCTCTCTTGCTGTTGGTGTAAGTGCAGCTCTCTTGCTGTTTGTGTAAGTGCAGCTCTCTTGCTGTTGGTGTAAGTGCAGCTCTTTTGCTGTTGGTGTAAGTGCAGCTCTCTTGCTGTTGGTGTAAGTGCAGCTCTCTTGCTGTTGGTGTAAGTGCAGCTCTCTTGCTGTTGGTGTAAGTGCAGCTCTCTTGCTGTTGGTGTAAGTGCAGCTCTCTTGCTGTTGGTGTAAGTGCAGCTCTCTTACTGTTGGTGTAAGTGCAGCTCTCTTGCTGTTGGTGTAAGTGCAGCTCTCTTGCTGTTGGTGTAATTGCAGCTCTCTTGCTGTTGGTGTAAGTGCAGCTCTCTTGCTATTGCCATGCCCTATGCCCCATGCCCCTTGCCTCATGCCCAATGTGCAATGCCTATATGCACCATGGCCCATGCGCCATGCCCAATACCCCATGCACCATACCCTATGCCTCACACCCCATACCCCATGCTTGGAGGCAGAGACGTGGTTGGCGTGTGTGACGAAGGGCAAAAGCACTATGGCAGGCTGGGGTCTGTACTAGAGGCGCCGCATAATCTCACGCCTCATTCCTGCTGCTATCCTATGCTTCAAATCCCATACGTCATGTCCATTATCCATACCCCACCATACCCAACATCCCACACCCCGCATGCTCCATGCGTGCAAGGGGCAAGGTCTGCTTTAAGGCGGCCCATCTTCCAAACCCCATACTCCACATACCCCATGCGCGCAGGGAGGGACGTGTTTGACGTGACCAAGGGCAGGAAGCACTACGGCAAGGGACAGGGCTACAACCACTTTGCTGGCAGGTCAGCCGAACAGCACCTTGCACAGAGCATACAGGGGCGTGTCATTGGCTGCCTTAGCAACAATCGTAATCATTCTCTGCATGCGCCTGCGAGGCCACTGCATTCTGCTGCAGCTTCAGTGGCTCCTAGTTTTGATGCCGAATGGTTGTGCTTTCGAAAACAGCACTGCCTTAAAATGCTGCATCCAGGTGCGTGCCATTGGCTGGCAGGGAAGCACTCTCACTCCCGTGGACGGCCGTTCTTGGCTTGGCAGGCCATTTTAAGCATGCAAGCTTGTGTGCTGTTTATCTTCTCTGCCATCATCCTTGTCTTGTCTACTGCTTCCCCCATCCTCTTTATTCCTGCCCCTGTCTCCTTCTTCCCCGCCTCTCTCTCACACTTTCCTCCCTCACTCAGACCTCCCCCCTCTCCCTCATGCCTCTCCCCTTCTCCACCAATCCCGTCTCACAGGGATGCCACCAGGGCATTCGTCTCGGGCAACTTCTCAGGTATGACTTTCAATACCATGCCATGCCATGCCATACCATGCCATGCCATAGCATACCACGCATGAGTGGTATGCCTGCTTCATGTTCTGTCCACTGCTGACCTTCGGCCATCCACCAGCACCGCGCATGGCACCTCGTGGCACCACATGGCACCACATGGGACCACAGGGACCACATGGGACCACATGGGACCACATGGGACCACATGGGACCACATGGCACCGCATAGGACCGCATGGGACCACATGGGACCACATGAGACCACATGGCACCGCATAGGACCACAGGGACCACGTGGGACCATATGGGACCACATGGGACCACATGGGACCACATGGCACTGCATAGGACCACATGGGACCACATGAGACCACATGGCACCGCATAGGACCACATGGGACCACATGGGTCCACATGGGACCACATGGGACCACATGGCACCGCATAGGACCACATGGGACCACATGGGACCACATGGCACCGCATAGGACCACATGGGACCACATGGGTCCACATGAGACCACATGGCATCTCATGGCTCCTTCAAGGCTTTACTCCTCTCCCCCACACCTTCCTCTCCCCCTCTGTCCATCCTTTGTTCAGTCATTTTCCATTCCTTTTCCATCCCTTTCCCCCTCCTACCGTCCCTTACTCTCCCATTCCCTCCCGTTTTAGAACCCTTTCTATCCTTTTCCATCCCTCTCCATCTCTTTCCATCCCTCTCCGTCCCTTTCCATCCCTCTCCATCCCTCTCTCCCCTGCAGGCGATGGCTTAACGGACGACCTGACGGGGCTGTCAGGCGAGCAGTGCATCGGCGTTGCTGACTAGCGCGACTTCTACTTCAAAACCTACATGTGAGCTGTTTCGTGCAAGCAACATTCATCCGAGGAACCCCATGCACGAGAGATGCATGTGTGTGTGCATGGGGCGTTACGACCCTGCCTGTCTTCACCCGCACCCTTTGTCCTCCGTGGTTTGCCCTGCTCGTCTTCCTACAGCCACGTGGACCAGCTGGTGGGTCAAGGGGCGGTCAATGCTGGTTAAGGGGCAGTCAATGCTGGTCAAGGGGCAGTCAACGCCAGTCAAGGGGCAGTCAACGCCAGTCAAGGGGCTATTAATGCAAGTCAAGGGGGGGTGGCTGGCACTCCAGTGCTGGTCAATGGGCATCAATGCGAGTGCCCTGAGTGTGTGGCTGCTAAATTGGCGGCCAGTATACGTCAAAGGGCTGTCAATGCGAGTCAACCAGTGGTCAACGCGAGTCAACCAGTGGTCAACGCGGGATAAGCAGCTGTCAACGCGGATCCGATGAGGGGAGTGGCCGCGAATCAGGCGGGGACAGCTGTCGGCCAGCCAGGGTTAGGTGCAGGTTGTGTGGGGACGGCTGCTGTGCTACAGACAAGAAATGCTGGTCCAGCACCAGTCAACGCTGGTCAAGCACCAGTCAACGCTGGTCAAGCACCAGTCAACGGTGGTCAAGGCCCAGTCAATGCAGGTCAAGGGGCGGTCAATGCAGGTCAAGGTGGGGGGTTGAGCAGTGAGGAAGAGTTGCTTTCAGGTGAGAATTTGAGTGCTGGATGGTCTACGAGTGAGGGCGAGGAGTTGAGTGAGGGGGAGCAGTTGAGTGAGGGAAGGGGAATTGTGTGTGTGAGGGACAATGGAGCTGCTGTGTTTGAAGCGGGGGCAGTTGAGTATGAGGAATGGTGGCACGTATGAGGGGGAAGAGGGTGTGACTGGAGGGGGAGGGGACATGGCTGTGGGAAGAGGAGACATGCCTTTGAGGGGAGGAGACTCTAAGGGAAAGGAAGGAGAGACGAAGGGGGCAGACGGGGCCAGATTTCGGTCAATGTTGGGTTAGATTTCGGTCGTCAACTTTTAGAGCCGGGAGAGGAGGGAGGAGGGAGAGACAAGTGGGAAGGAAGGAGAGACCAGTGGGAAGGCGGGGAACAAGGCAATCAGGAAAATTGATTCTGTGCGACTGAAAAAAAGAGAGAGAGAAGGGCATGCAAGGAGACGAGGAAGTAGAAACCGAATGATGCATGAGCGTGGGGTGGGTGAGGTGCAATTGGTTGCACCAGGCAGGCCGTGAAGGTCCGCCATGTGTTTATGACGCGGTAAAGGGGGAGAGATTCTGGTGACGTATATTCTGCATTGTCTATGATGGGCAACCTGCATGTCCCACCATCAGTTGCACATGGACAAGTGTTTCTGCTTTGACGCTAGTTGTTTATAAATTGGCGTCACTAGCAGGGCCTCAGATTCGTTTTGGCGTAGGCTGACTGGTCAACCTTAGGAGTGTGTTCATGGCTGATCAGTCAGTGTTGTTAAAAAAAAAACTGACTTTTCAGGGTGTATATGACAAAAAAAACTGAACGATCAGCGTCACTATTTGGTGAAGACTGAACCATTTCAAACAAGTTCTTCATTGATATAACAAACGTTTACAGGAAATCTAATTAAACATATCCTCATCCTCTTCATCATCATCATCCTCTTCACTATCACTAGAGCCTAAAGAGAGCGCCGCGGCCAGCGACGACCGCCGCCATGCTAGCTTCACGGGCAGACCGCGGCCCGCGAGGCACCATGGCGACGGGGGAAAGAGACGATCGGCGAGGCGAGGGGAAGGCGAGGCTGCGCGACGAGGGGAATGCGGGACGACTGGAGGCTGCAGGGAACGACGCGGAAGTTTAGCTCTGCGAGGGGAAAGGAAAGGGAATGGCAAATGAATACCTGTATCTTAGATCGTGCTTTCTAAGATGTGCGGCTGCTGCTGAGCTGACGGGATGGAAACTAGAATACGCGAAACTTTGCTCGGCGAGGGGAAAGGAAAGGGAACGGAAAAGAAAGATCTCTATCCTAAATCGTACTTATTAGGCAAACTGGTGTGTTGCTGCCGCACTGACGGGCTGCAGAGGAGAAAATACGGAGAGGAATACGGGGAGCACGAGGGAGTGAAAGCGGAATCGTGGATCCCTCTATCCCTCGCAGCTCCCTCTCCCACGCAGCTAACTATCTCCCTCGCAGCTCACTCTCTCCCTCGCAGCCTGATCAAATGGAAACGAGGGAACCAAATGCGGGGGGCGATGAGGAGTAACGGGAAACATATGTCTGTAGATTCGTACCTACTAAGGCTGCGTTCTGTGGGCGCATCAGCTCTGATGCGCCCTAGGCTCGGCCTGATCCGCACATTGACAAATTGAGGTTCGGGAATGAGGAATTTGAAATTGAAAAATAGAGGTTCGGAAAATGGAGATTGAGGTTCGGGAAATCGGAAATTGGAGATTTCGAATTTCGGGCATGTCAAATCTCGATCTCAAATTTTTGAGGAATTCCAGGGTGCTGAAGGTTCTTCGAAGCAGGGGAGCACGCGCCTGACGCCTTCCCCACACGCATGATGCGCTGTTCAATTGCCCAACTCGAGCTGATGCGCGCATCATGCGTCTTCCAGGCGTTGCATCATGCGCGCATCAAGTGATCGTCAGATTGCTAGGACGATAAATTTCTCGGAAAGCGACAACATGTAAATTTGTGGTTGCCAAAAAGACCGTTCTGCAGGCATTCGGGCTTGGATTGCCTCGGCAGCCAAGCGCTTATCGCGAGCCTTGATAACCTTTCGGCTGGTTATCAAGGAAGGCTCCTGGCAAATCGAAAAAAAAATGCAATGTACATTGATGCGGGCTAATGCGCCCGCAGAACGCAGCCTAAGATGGCGTTGCTGCTGAGCTGAGCTCACGGGCTGAAAATGAGTGGGTATTCCCGTCAAGGAATATGCACGAACGAGAAGTGCAGCTCACGGGCTCACGGGCCTCATCGTACAGCGACGACCAGCTGCGACGCCAGCTTCGCTGGCGAACGCGGCCCGCACGGCGCCATGGCGACGGAGGGAAAGGGAAGCGTGGCGCAGCGAGGGGAAGGTGAGGCTGCGCGACGAGGGAATGATGCTCGGCGAGGGAGAAGGAGAGAAATACAGGAAAGAAGAATCTCTATCCTTGAGCCAAGATACCTTCGCGAGAAGACAGAAGTGGAGTGAAAGTTCGTGAATGATGCCATTCCCGAATGCGTTGGCAAGGAATCTTGCCATTTCGGCGTGATTGACGGAGGGACGGTCGAACCGGTGTACCTAGACATCCGGAATTCAGGGCACCTACGCGAATCTCCATTACAGGGATTTCAGCCAACCCTTTGTTACAACTCTGATGAGACAGCGTACACGACAGGAAAAAAAGCTGATATTTCAGCACAGACAGTTTAAAAAACCCTGAAACTTCAGCAAACACACTTAAAAAAAAGTTGCCACAACAGCCCCACTATTCTCCCACCACTGAAATCACAGCATTTTTACCCCTAATCAGCCTTTTTTCGCTGACTTCCGAGGGCCTGGTCACTAGATGAAATAAATAAACAGTCTCAATAATAGCCTAACAACCATCAACCACTGGAAAATCACAAAATGCCTACAACACTAGCCCCGAATTCTGAGTCCCCCCACCCACCCTATGCACCTGTGCAACTACTACCATATGCTAAAACAAATTAAGTCACTCTACTAAGCTTGAGAAGGATAACAAATGAAGCTTTTCAGTCATACGGTAACAACATGGCAGGTCATCGTATGGTGGATCTCTCCTTTCACATTCCTGCGTTAGCAGGTCACCGGACCCGGATCATGGTGCCCTTGGCGACAGGGTCCTTGCAGCGACGACCGTTGTTCAACGCCGCGAATCGGAACTGCTTGCCTTCGTAGTACTGCTTCAGCAACATGCTGCATGACTCGCCGCGCGTCTGGTAATACTCCGCAAGATCTCGATGTGCCTTCCTCCCCGCCGTTAGCGGAACTGGATTACGCATAAAAAAAAAAAAAAAAAAAAAAAAAAAAAAAAAACAAACAAACAAACAAACAACTTCAATGAGTAGCTGAAGTTCCAACAGGTCAGCATAACAGGGAAGTAGGTTCCAAGCCTGAGCAAGGGTAGTTGTAGGGGTGACATTAAATCTGATCGCTGTCCAGGCGGAACGACGCAACTCACCGTGGGAAACGAGGAGAAGAGCCAGTGCCAACACCAGCATGGCGCGCACAACATTCATGAGCCTTGCCATGGACACGCTTTAGCACTGGATTGAGAGGACGATGAGGCACCACGGGAGTGAATAACAATGGCGATGAGCTCCAAACTTTGAAGAGAACTAGCGAAAACGCATCCAGGAGGTTTGGGTGGAAGAATGATGCTGAGAGGACGAGATGGGCTGAAATACATTATAACCAATAACCTAGTTTCGACGCCTCCAGGAAGAAGCGAGTCGCTTCCTCCATCCGCTCCTCGTAGGTGGCACAAAACGAGACGATGCTGCTGTGTTCGCATCGCATCATGAATCATGATTCACGGAGCACGAGGATAGCTTCCGTACAGCTTTCAAGTTGCGGTTTTCGATTGGACGTACAATTCCAAAGCCACATCCGTACAACTGCTTGACGAATCTGACTCGCCTCCAGCATTACAGAGAGAACGAGCGGGAATTGGTGGGTGTGTGTCATGTGATGTATTGTGACTTGTGAGCTACCGTAACTAGTAGAAAAAAACAGTAGGTGAGAGCCGTCAGCACGAAACTTGAAAGCTGGATCCGAACGGTGCAAGATGCATTTAGTGCGGGAGAAAGTTCCGAGCCGATTTTCAAAGCCAGGCTGCTCTGCAACGCTGGGCTATCCTTCCTGGATCTGCTCTGCAACCTGCATGCCGAACGGCGCCCGAAGCTCGTCGTGTCTTGCAGCATAGCACCATGGTTGGTTCGGGATGCACCGACAGGCTCGGTAAATCAGATATGTTGGATGTTCGATACTAGAGCCCAACAGGCTGGGCTCGTGTTATTTTTAAAACGTAAGTCTGTCATCACATAACCCAAAAACTTACCTCGATCGCAATCCGCATCTCTCTTTCCCCATCCCCACCCCAACCACAGACATCCATTTTTCCCTATGTGTTGCCCCACTCACGAAGAAGCACATGAGTAAAAGAACCCAAATGCAACACACATAGAACCCCCCCTCAAGATACCCAATCAAAACGCCGAGTCAAGACACCCCATCAAGACATCCCATCCCACACCCCACCCCCCCCTCCCTTCAATCACAACAGCGTATCGACCATGTACGGGGCCTCTACCCAGAGAGCCCCGCCTTCCACATCGACATCGTCCCTCTCCCGGTCCACCAAATCTACGTTAATCCCCCCCATGGAAGACGCCGCTCGAAGCAGGATGACACGGGCTTGCGCACGTTGTAACGCCACCCCGATGAGCGCCTTCAGTGACCCTAAAAGATAAGCCGAAAACACAGAGTCGTCCTCTCGACAAGCCCCCAGCGACACAGCTAGCCCCACGTGCGCATCCCCCTGCTGACGAAGCCACCGCTGAAAACGACCGCCGAGACACCCCCACGTCTCAACTATCAAAGGGGTGAACTGCACGCCCCGGTTGCGTGCAAGCAGAGGCGCGTAATCACTCGTTTTGCGACGCTCCCACTCCCTTGCCGCCACACCTATGTGACGCCCGCACTGTCCCAGCAGTGATGGAGACAGCGATAGCGGGTCCGCGACGCTGATCTCTAGGGCGTGAGCCTCTCCAGCCATTGGTCGTCGCACCGCCACATCAACCCGCTTCCCCTGCAGCACCACACTATCCTCCATTGTCACCACCCCCCCCGACGCCTTAGAGATCTTCGCCACCGCAAACTTCACCTCATCATGCACCCGAGATGGACCATGCTGGTGCTTGCATCTCAGGGCATGGTGCGGGTCTGCTGGGTCAACATACGCTGTGCCACAAACACACCTCCCCGCCACCTGCAGCTGCTGAATTGGGAGGCCAAGCCGTATAGCAGCAGCGATGCCCCACTCAGCCGCAGTGAATGTGAGATCTGAGTGAGCCGGAACCGCCGAAACCCATGCACCCGCCCCCGGGCCCTGAAGGGATGTGAAACGGGCCAAGGTAGCATCGTCACGAGCCAAGCGACGTAGTGCCTGGAGCTCCTCTACAGCTAACTGCCGCTGCCGCGCCTGGAAAAGCCGAATAGGAGGGGCCGCTACACACAGAGGTAAGCCCGGTATCTCGTGGCGGATAGACGCTGGCAGCTGCTCAAGAGCCTTGACAAACCACGGGTCAAGAAACTCTGCCCCTGTCGAAGTGGTGAGGTAATCTGCAAACATCGCCTCCTCACCCGCCACCCCTAACTGTGCAATGTCACGCGCGGCCTGCGCCCACCCACAAACATAGGACAGTGGGCTCAAAGAGGCCGCCGCCCGGATCCCGAACCCTCCGAGTCGCACAGGGAGATGCAGCTGCATGCGTGCGCGCCTAGACCGGTCGGGGTCCTGCTCCCAAGTGCCAGGTGGGAAAAGCTGCTCAAAGCAATCCTCTAAACAGCTGTCCCAATCCCTAAAAGCCTCAACCACCTCCGGACGCGGCGGCATAGTCCGGGCGAGGTACATCGGCCGCGCTGAAACTGCAATGGCGAGGAGGTGTGAAGCCATCTGAGGGTGGTCGAGCAATTGGAGCCATGGCAGTGGCGCCTGCAACTGTCGAAGCCGCTCCCGTAGCCGGACCACCTCCCAAACCTCCTCCCCAATAGGCACGCCCACCACAGTAAGACCTTCATCCACCCGCTGCATCCCCAATGGCAGTGCCCGCTCCACCTCCTTGCCCTCGCGCTCCCAAAACCGGCACTTGTGTGCCTGCACCTCCAGCCCCACCCACTCCAACCGCTCCCGCAGCACCCCAAAAGCCTCCAGAATCCTAGCCGCTGGCCCCAAAATATAGGTATCGTCTGCATAGCTGAGGAAAAGCAGGTCCTTGAACTCCCTAGTAACCGGCTCCATCACCTGCTGCTGCGTGAACGCGAAAAGAAAAGGGCCGAGCGGGTCCCCCTGCCTCGATCCCCGTGCTGACTCGAGGCTCTGTACGAAAGGGCCTGCTCGGAGGTACAGGTCGCTAGGTGTCCCATAAAAAACACGCAAGAATGGGATCATCCCTGAGAAAGGCGACTCCCGCAGCCCATCGAACATCACATGACGGTGAAACGAATTGAAGGCGTTTGCGATGTCAATCTGTAGCGCGCACCAGTCGGGGTGAGTGGCCAGTGCTGACCGAAAAGAATGAGTGAGAATCTCCGCCCCGACCCTGGTGCCCGCTCCCAGCTGGTTGCACGGCAGGAAGTAGGAAACCATCGCAGGGCAGAGCGAGATGCAGAGAGCTCGAGCAAGGATACGAGGAAGCACCTCCCCGATCGCCACCGGCCGGACGTCGCCGTTAGGCTTGGAAAGCCCGACTAGGTTGGATGCGGCGAGCCACGGCCGAGCCCGCTCGGGGACCTGTCCCGCCACCCATTGGTTGAACACTTCCAACAAGTGGGAAAGGCAGGAAGGTTCAGTGAGGAAGGTGTCGCGCAGATGCTCTGTGACCCACCCCGATGGCCCTGCTGCTGAAGCTCGAGCGGCTGTATGGATAGCTCTGGCCAGGATGTCGGTCGTGAGTGAAGGCCGCTGAGCAGTATCGATGGTGAAATCGCGGACCCACTGTGGTACCTCGCCAGCGCTAGCCGGGTGCTTCTCTCGCAGCGACTGCACCATGGCCTCAGACGGTCGAGCCAACTCCCCTGCCGTAAGGCAGGCCAATCCTCGGCTCCACTCCCCCACTTTGCACCGAGATCGGCACCGTGACACGCGGATGGCATCCGGGTCCTGGTCAGAGCAAGTGTAGGAAAGTGGGCGAACTGCTGGCCGCGCCGCCACCATGGCAGAGTCGAACAGCTCCCGCCACCTCCCCTCCCAGAACGCACCCAACCGCTCTGTGATCAGCGCCTTCTGACCTATGCCTGGCTTGGGAGGCACGGCTAGGATAAGGCGCGGAAACGCCAAGAGTAGGAGGGTAGCAGCTTCATCTCCAGGCTGGCTCTTCAAGCGCTTAAGGATGCAACAGAGCGCGTCTAAGACCCCCGACCTGGCCCGCTGTGGGATCCGGCGCACTGTCCTCCCTCCAACCGCCTCCACACTGAAAAAAGTTTCCCATTCCCATGACGTAACCCCAGCCCACGCCTCGTCCCCAAATTCCCGCGGCGTCGATCGCTCCTGCGTGTCGGTCTCCACCAGAGACGGAATCGAGCCGAGAGCCTGTGCACGCCTCTCCGCCTCAGCCGCCCGGCATACCCTCATGTGGTTCGCAGCGGCCCCTCGCGTAGCGAAAGTGTGGAAACACGTGTCACACGGAAAGCGGGGGCATGGGGAAGGCGGCATGGGAGGTTCTTCGTCCGCCTCTGACTCCTCCGCAGTCGCCATGGGGGTATCAAACTCCAAAAGTCGACACCACTCCTCCAACTGTTGCTCCTGGTCGTCCATCGATCGCCCCCCTGCTTGCTGCGCTCCTTGGGGTGCCCAGGGCACCCTCGGCTGCCCCTCTGGCTGCTGCGCTCCCTGGGGTGCCCCGGTCACCCCCGGCTGCCCCCCTGCCTGCTGCTCTCCCTGGGGTGCTCCGGGCACCCTCGGCTGCCCTCCTGCCTGCTGCACTCCCTGCCCTCCTGCCTGCTGCACTCCCTGGGGTTCCCCGGGCACCATCGGCTGCCCTCCTGCCTGCTGCACTCCCTGGCGTGCTCCGGTCACCCCCGGCTGCTCCCCTGCCTGCTGCTCGCCCTGGGGTGCTCGGGTCACCCCCGGCTGCCCCCCTAGCTGCTGCTCTCCCTGGGGTGCTCCGGTCACCCCCGGCTGCCCCCCTGCCTGCTGCTCTCCCTGGGGTGCTCCGGGCACCCTCGGCCGCCCTCCTGCCTGCTGCACTCCCAGCCCTCCTGCCTGCCGCACTCCCTGGGGTTCCCCGGGCACCATCGGCTGCCCTCCTGCCTGCTGCACTCCCTGGGGTGCCCCGGGCAACCTCGGCTGCCCTCCTGCCTGCTGCATTCCCTCGGGTGCTCCGGGCACCCCCAGCTGCCCCCCTGCCTGCTGCACTCCCTGGGGTGCCCCGGGCACCCTCGGTTGCCCTCCTGCCTGCTGCACTCCCTGGGGTGCCCCGGGCACCCTCGGCTGCCCTCCTGCCTGCTGCACTCCCTGCGGTGTTCCGGGCACCCCCGTCTCCCCACCTGCCTGCTGCACTCCCTGGGGTGCCCCGGGCACCCTCGGCAGCCCTCCTGCCTGCTGCACTCCCTGGGGTGCCCCGGGCGCCCCCGGCTGCCCCCCTGCCTGTTGCACTCCCTGGGGTGCCCCGGGCACCCTCGGCTGCCCTCCTGCCTGCTGCACTCCCTGGGGTGCTCCGGGCACCCCCGGCTCCCCACCTGCCTGCTGCACTCCCTGGGGTGCCCCAGGCATCCTCGGCTGCCCTCCTGCCTGCTGCACTCCCTGGGGTGCCCCGGGCACCCTCGGCTGCCCTCCTGCCTGCTGCACTCCCTGGGGTGTTCCGGGCACCCCTGTCTCCCCACCTGCCTGCTGCACTCCCTGGGGTGCCCCGGGCACCCTCGGCAGCCCTCCTGCCTGCTGCACTCCCTGGGGTGCCCCGGGCACCCTCGGCTGCCCTCCTGCCTGCTGCACTCCCTGGGGTGCCCCGGGCACCCCCTGCTGCCCTCCTGCCTGCTGCACTCCCTGGGGTGCCCTGGGCACCCTCGGCTGCCCCCCTGCCTGCTGCACTCCCTGGGGTGCCCGGGGCACCCTCGGCTGCCCTCCTGCCTGTTGCTCTCCCTGGGGTGCTCCGGTCACCCCCGGCTGCCCCCCTGGCTGCTGCTCTCCTTGGGGCGCCCCGGGCACCCAGGGCTGCCCTCCTGCCTGCTGCACTCCCTGGGGTGCCCCGGGCACCCTCGGCTGCCCTTCTGCCTGCTGCATTCCCTGGGGTGCTCCGGGCACCCCCGGCTCCCCACCTGCCTGCTGCACTCCCTGGGGTGCCCCGGGCACCCTCGGCTGCCCTCCTGCCTGCTGCACTCCCTGGGGTGCCCCGGGCACCCTCGGTTGCCCTCCTGCCTGCTGCACTCCATGGGGTGCTCCGGGCACCCTCGGCTGCCCTCCTGCCTGCTGCACTCCCTGGGGTGCTCCGGGCACCCCCGGCTGCCCCCCTGCCTGCTGCACTCCCTGGGGTGCCCCGGGCACCCTCGGTTGCCCTCCTGCCTGCTGCACTCCCTGGGGTGCCCCGGGCACCCTCGGCTGCCCTCCTGCCTGCTGCACTCCCTGGGGTGTTCCGGGCACCCCCGTCTCCCCACCTGCCTGCTGCACTCCCTGGGGTGCCCCGGGCACCCCCGGCTGCCCCCCTGCCTGCTGCGCTCCCTGGGGTGCTCCGGGCACCCTCGGCTGCCCTCCAGCCTGCTGCACTCCCTGGGGTGCCCCGGGCACCCTCGGCTGCCCTCCTGCCTGCTGCACTCCCTGGGGTGCCCCGGGCACCCCCGGCTTCCCCCCTGCCTGTTGCACTCCCTGGGGTGCTCCGGGCACCCTCGGCTGCCCTCCTGCCTGCTGCACTCCCTGGGGTGCCCCGGGCACCCCCGGCTGCCCCCCTGCCTGTTGCACTCCCTGGGGTGCTCCGGGCACCCTCGGCTGCCCTCCTGCCTGCTGCACTCCCTGGGGTGCCCCGGGCACCCCCTGCTGCCCTCCTGCCTGCTGCACTCCCTGGGGTGCCCTGGGCACCCTCGGCTGCCCCCCTGCGTGCTGCACTCCCTGGGGTGCCCGGGGCACCCTCGGCTGCCCTCCTGCCTGTTGCTCTCCCTGGGGTGCTCCGGTCACCCCCGGCTGCCCCCCTGGCTGCTGCTCTCCTTGGGGCGCCCCGGGCACCCAGGGCTACCCTCCTGCCTGCTGCACTCCCTGGGGTGCCCCGGGCACCCTCGGCTGCCCTTCTGCCTGCTGCATTCCCTGGGGTGCTCCGGGCAACCCCGGCTCCCCACCTGCCTGCTGCACTCCCTGGGGTGCCCCGGGCACCCTCGGCTGCCCTCCTGCCTGCTGCACTCCCTGGGGTGCCCCGGGCACCCTCGGTTGCCCTCCTGCCTGCTGCACTCCATGGGGTGCTCCGGGCACCCTCGGCTGCCCTCCTGCCTGCTGCACTCCCTGGGGTGCTCCGGGCACCCCCGGCTGCCCCCCTGCCTGCTGCACTCCCTGGGGTGCCCCGGGCACCCTCGGCTGCCCTCCTGCCTGCTGCACTCCCTGGGGTGTTCCGGGCACCCCCGTCTCCCCACCTGCCTGCTGCACTCCCTGGGGTGCCCCGGGCACCCCCGGCTGCCCCCCTGCCTGCTGCGCTCCCTGGGGTGCTCCGAGCACCCTCGGCTGCCCTCCAGCCTGCTGCACTCCCTGGGGTGCCCCGGGCACCCTCGGCTGCCCTCCTGCCTGCTGCACTCCCTGGGGTGCCCCGGGCACCCCCGGCTGCCCCCCTGCCTGTTGCACTACCTGGGGTGCTCCGGGCACCCTCGGCTGCCCTCCTGCCTGCTGCACTCCCTGGGGTGCCCCGGGCACCCCCGGCTGCCCCCCTGCCTGTTGCACTCCCTGGGGTGCTCCGGGCACCCTCGGCTGCCCTCCTGCCTGCTGCACTCCCTGGGGTGCCCCGGGCACCCCCTGCTGCCCTCCTGCCTGCTGCACTCCCTGGGGTGCCCTGGGCACCCTCGGCTGCCCCCCTGCGTGCTGCACTCCCTGGGGTGCCCGGGGCACCCTCGGCTGCCCTCCTGCCTGTTGCTCTCCCTGGGGTGCTCCGGTCACCCCCGGCTGCCCCCCTGGCTGCTGCTCTCCTTGGGGCGCCCCAGGCACCCGGGGCTGCCCCCCCACCCGCGGGGCTCCCGGGGGTGTCTCGGTCGCCCCCGGCTGCCCCTCCGCCTGCTGTGCGGCAGCACCGCTTCCAGTCCGCCCTTGCGTCTTACGGGCGTGTCGTCTCCCGCCTCGGCCCCGTGCCCGGGTTCTCTTCGCTTGGCTAGTAGAGTCCGCACTAGCGACCTCCAGCTGCCCCCGCGCCGGCAACTCCCGCCGCTCCCCCTCCGACCGCTCCTGCTGCCCTCCCCCCAACAGCTCCAGCTGCCCTCCTGTTGGCAGCTCCTGCCGCTCTTCCCCCAGCATCTCCTGCTGCCCTCGTGCCTGCAGCCGGGCCTGGTTCCCTGATTGGTCCTGCTGCAGCTCTGGCAGTAGCTCGGCCATCTCCACATCCACCGCTTGCTGCTCCCGCTCCGGCAGCTGCCCCACCCCCGGCGGCTTCTGCTGCTCTTCCATTGGCAGTTCATGCTGCTCTCCCCCGGGCGGCCCCTGCTGCCCTCCTGCCTGTGGCCAGGCCTGGTTTCCCGATTGGTCCTGCTGTGCCTCTGGCTGTAGCTCGGCCATCTCCACTTCTACCGCTTGCTGCTCCCTTGCTTGCTGCTCCCTTGCCGGCAGCTCGTGCTGCTCTTCCCTTGGCAGCTCATGCTGCTCTCCCCCGGGCGGCTCCTGCTGCCCTCCTGCGTGTGGCCGGGCCCGGTTCCCCGATTGGTCCTGCTGCACCTCTGGCTGTAGCTCGGCCATCTCCACTTCTACCACTTGCTGCCCCTCAGCCGGCAGCTCCTGCTGCCCTCTCGCCGGCACCTCCTGCTGCCCTCTCGCCGGCACCTCCTGCTGCCCTCTCGCCGGCACCTCCTGCTGCCCTCCCGCTGGCGCCTCCTGCTGCCCTCCCGCTGGCGCCTCCTGCTGCCCTCCCGCTGGCACCTCCCGCTGCCCTCCCGCTGGCACCTCCCGCTGCCCTCCTGCCTGCAGCTCCTGCTGCCCTCCCGCCGGCAGCTCCTGCTGCCCTCCCGCCGGCCGCTCCTGCTGCTCTCTCTTCGGCAGTACCTGCTGCTCGCCTGCCGACCGCGCCTGCCGCCCTCTTGCCTGCGGCTCTTGCTGCCCTCTCGCCGGCAGCTCCTGCTCCCCTCTCGCCGGCAGCTCCTGCTCCCCTCTCGCCGGCAGCTCCTGCTCCCCTCTCGCCAGCAGCTGCTGCTCCCCTCTCGCCAGCAGCTCCTTCTGCCCTCCCGCCGGCAGCACCTGCTGCCCCCTTGCTTGTGGCTTCCGGACCTCCCCCAACAGCCAGTTCTGCTGCCCCCCCTCCTGCCTCGAGGGCTGGGTCCCCGCTGGACTCCACTGCTGCATTTCCGCCCGGGCTCTCCGTCTCTGTTCCTGCCTTTGGGCCAGGCGAGGCCAAGGGATTTCCCAGGGCCCTCCGCCGCCTATCATGAGACTCCTGCAGTCGCCGGCGGTGTGCCTCCCATGCAGCCATCGCCGCGTCATCACCAGTACCTTGCCTGTGCACCCCATGACCGCACTCGCCCTCGTCCGTCGCGTCCAGGTCCCAGCTGGAGATGGTGTCGCTGCCGCCTACGAAGCCGCCGATAGTGTCTTCGGGTGGTTCCTCCATCCCCCCCTCTGTCGAGGGGGGTCCATACCTTTGTCGCTTGCTGGGCTTGCCAAAAAGGCAGAGTGCATCCTCGTGGTGGAGGCGACAGAGTTGTGGGTATTGCATACTCAGCGCTGCCTCCCTGGGTCTCTTGTGGCCAATCCTCGCGATGATCTTCCTCCCCCGGTCTGGGGGGTCTGGATCGTTGTTCATGGCGTAAGCTATTTGCGGGGAGCGCTGGAAGGGCGCCTCCCGCCTTCGATATAAGGTTCGCAGTCCAGGTGAGTCGAAGGTGTTGGGCGTCGCTGGCGCACGGAGACTCCCCTATACGTTGGACGCTCCTACCTGCAGGTGTTGGTACCTAGGCGCGGGTCTCGCTTTGTGGTCCTCCCTACACGCGGTAGTCGCTGCCTAGGCGCGAGCCTCACTGCGATGGCACTCCTACGCGCGAGTATAGCTGTCTGGGCGCTGATCCCTCCGCCGCGGCGCGGATTTCGCTGCTACGGCGCGGATTTCACTGTTACGTGGCGGATTTCACTGCTCTTTGCCCGGACTTCGCTGCTACGGCGTGCACTTCGCTGCTTCGGCGCGCACTTCGCGGCTACGGCGCGCACTTCGCTGCTACGGCGCGGACTTCGCTGCTACGGCGCGGATTTCGCTGCTAAGGCGTGGATTTCGCTGCTACGGTGCGCAATTCGCTGCTACGGCGCGCACTTCACTGCTACGGCGCGCAATTCGCTGCTACGGTGTGCACTTCACTGCTACGGCGCGCACTTCGATGCTACGGCGCGGGCTTCGCTGCTACGGCGCGGATTTCGCTGCTACGGCGCGGATTTCGCTGCTACGGCGCGGATGTCGCTGCTAGAGCGTGGGTTCTGCTGCCTAGGCATGGATGTCGCTGCTACGACGGGGATTTCGCTGCCACGGCGCGAATTTCGCTGCCACGGCGTGGATTTCGCTGCTACGGCGCGATTTTCGCTGCTGCGGTGCGGATTTCGCTGTGACGGCGCGGGTTCCACTGCCTAGCTGCTCGCTGCAACCTGCAGTTCGCGGGCTAAGCGGCTAAATCACCGGTTGATCAGCAAGATCGCTGCTTTGCAGCTAGGTCGCGGGCGGGGCGGCTAAATCGCTGGCTGAGCGGCTAAGATGCGGGCTAGGCAGCTAGATCGAGGCGTAGGCGGCTAGATCACGGGCTGGGCGGCTAGATCGCGGGCTGGGCGGCTAAATCGCGGGCTGGGCGGCTAGATCGCGGCCTGGGCGGCTGAATCGCGGGCTAAGAGGCTGAGTCGCGGGCTACGTGGAGGGATCGCGCTGCCACTAGCGAGGAAAGAGCTGCTGCCTAGCGGGAGTCGCGCTGCTGCCTAGCGGGAGTCGCGCTGCTCCTGCCTATCTGTGTTATTTTTCTCGTTCACACTGCGATATAGGTATAGGTATCTCGTTCACAGTACTTGACTGCAGTGGGGTCATATCATATGAAGGTGAATTCGAATCCGAATTTAGAATTCGAGAAGAGCCATAGCCAGGTCCTGTGCGCAGTGGCAGTGCGAGCGTGCGTGATATTCTTCTGAGAGGGTTTGGCGAGGCTTCCAGTAAAATAGTCGAGTCTCCCGGACTCTGCTCCCTCAATGTAGCAGCGTTTGAACCATGCCAACCTAATCAACTGGATTCGTTTTTTCGAGAGTAAAAGCCTTGTCGGATGAGGGAACGGCTGGTGGCACATTGCGGGTCGCCAAGTTTGTTCCCACACAGAGGCCTATTAGGACGGTTTGATTGAGGTGATGACAAATGAACAGATGCGATCGCAAAGGTAAAAATTACAGGATAGAGTGCACATTGACAACAACATGATGTGCTGTTTGAATTTTCAGCTAAGTACATTGCTACCTTTACTACCGTACCTAAATTTTGGCACAGATTACCCCCCAATCGACACACATAAATCGGTCTTCCTGTATTTGTGTCATTATTGCAAGAAAATTATATATTTCATTAATCAGACAAAGAGGGCCATCATACAAACATCACATACCGGCGGTAGCACCTACCGGGCTAACCTGGCCTAGAATTCCCGCAACAACAGCAATCAGCCTGATGGCTTGTGTTCCGCCTTCTATACTGCCAACCTCAGCTTCAGGCTCACCACAAGGAGCATGTTGCTGCGATCAGAAGGTGATCGCTTCCTAGGATCTCCTCGGGAAGGTTCGCACACAGTTAGGTAGTGGTTGGTGGGCCCTTGACCTCAATAGCAGAGTGAATGTAAAATGCTTGAGATGATAAAAACATGCAAATTCAAAGATATATATATGAGTACAAGGGAATTCGAAACGACCTAGCTAGCCATGTACTCTAAGGGGTACATTCCCTTATTCAAATTCATTCCCAACAGTGCGGCGCGTACAGTTACGAAATCGTTCGCGCCCGAATTCCTTTTGCCTGCAGCTGCCCGATGCTGTCTGCTCCGACGGTCCAGATCCACACTAACCGTCTGACGCTTCGAGTCAATTCTGACTCCTCGCATTCATCCACGATACTGCGTGCTTCCTTAGCTGTGGTTAGGAGTGTACTGTAATGTCTCATTAATTACCATTCGTAACACCCCCCTACACTCCTGGCCGTAGCGCGACTTGACCTGCTTGACCACTCCGCTTAGTTCGGAGCAGTGCTGGTACTGCTGGCGTGGCAGTCGCTTCCTGAGGAAGTCTGTGTCAGAACATTATATAGCTTATGCTGTTGTGTAGGCTATAGTGGGGTATCCCATAGGGGGTACAACCCAATTAGGGTTTTCTATATGTACTCACCTCATTCATAGTTCATTCATCCTCGTTCTTCATTCTTCTCATGGTATCGAGCAGGTTCCCTCGTGGGAACTGTTCCTAGGGCCCACCGTTTTTTTTTTCCTGCCCGGAGCGCACTCTGCCCCTACCCGAGTCGCGCTCCCCTCTCTCTTGGCCCCTAGTGGCCCCTTTAGCCGCCCGTCACGGCCCTTAGACGCCCGCGCGCCGCCCGTCCCGGCCCCTTAGACGCCCGCGCGCCGCCCGTCCCGGCCCCTAGACGCCCGTGCGCCACCCGGCCCGACCCCTAGACGCCCGCGCGCCGCCCGTCCCGGCCCCTAGACGCCCGCGCGCCGCCCGTCCCGGCCCCTAGACGCCCGCGCGCCGCCCGTCCCGGCCCCTCGACGCCCGCGCGCCGCCCGTCCCGGCCCCTCGACGCCCTCGCGCCGCCCGTCCCGGCCCCTCGCCGCCCGTGAGCCGCCCGTCCCGGCCCCTAGACGCCCGCGCGCCGCCCGTCCCGGCCCCTAGACGCCCGCGCGCCGCCCGTCCCGGCCCCTCGACGCCCGCGCGCCGCCCGTCCCGGCCCCTCGACGCCCGCACGCCGCCCGTCCCGGCCCCACGCCGCCCGTGAGCCACCCGTCCCGGCCGCGCACCGCAGTCCCGGCCCCACGCCGCCCGTGCGCCGCCCGTCCCAGCCGCGCGCCGCCGTCTCGGTCCCCACGCCGCCTGTGCCGCTGAGGAGCTGAGCCGCCCGAGCCGCCCGAGCCGCCCGCACCGCCCGAGCAGCCCGAGCCGTGCTGCCCCTCAGCAGCACAACCGAGCAGCCCGACAGCAGAGCAGCCGAGCCGCCCAGCAGCCGAGCCGCTCAACAGCCGAGCCGCCCAGCAGCCGAGCCGCCCAGCAGCCGTGCCGCCCAGCAGCGGAGCCGCCGAGCCGCCGAGCCGCCCGGCAGCCGAGCCGCCGAGCCGCCGCGCCGCCCTCCTTCCGGGCCGCCCGACCTGTCCAGTCTGGTGAGCACAGCGCCCTTTCACTGCACTGCCCTCACCCTACTGTTTGCGCTGCCAGTCGTCTAGGGTCATGGCTACCCCTAGTGTTCTAGTCTTTGACGCTGAGGGTCGGGCCATTGACTTTGAGGTCTGGGTGGATGACCTGCAGCTGTTCTTACAGTGCGATAGGGCAGATGGTCTCTCTCTCTTTGACCTCACCTCTGGCGCCTCCACTGCCCCTGCTGCTGACGCCGACGCCACTGTTCGCTCCCAGTGGGCCACGCGCGACGCTGCTGCACGTCTTGCTGTGCGTCGCCACCTCCCTACCTCCGAGCGTGCACACTTTAGTCAGTACAAGAGTGCTCAGACCTTGTACGACGCTGTAGTTGCGCGCTACTCCTCCCCTGCCACTGCTGCACTGAGCCGTCTCATGCTACCGTACCTCTTTCCTGACCTTGCTGCCTTTCCCATAGTCGCTGACCTCATTACGCACCTCCGCACTAGTGACACTCGCTACCGCGCTGCACTCCCTGCTGACTTCTGCGCCAAGAACCCCCCCCCCATGTACATCACTCTTTACTACATAGTCACTCGCCTTCCTGACTCCCTTCGCGTAGTCAGGGACCACTTTCTCTCTGTCTGTCCCACCACTCTCACTGCTGACCTCCTCGAGAAGTCCCTCCTAGCGGCCGAGAAGAGCATAGTCGCTGTAGGGGCCTCTCGTGGTGACCCGCGCACCCCCATCTTTGAGGGGTGTTCCCCCTCCCCCCTTCTGCCCTCTGTTGCCTCTGCTGCTGCGGCCGACCTCCTTGGTCTTGAGTCGGTCGGTGTGGCGTCTGCCCCTAGTGGGAGACGCCGCTCTGGCAAGGGCAAGGGGGGCAAGGGCACTGGAGGAGCGAGCGGGGGCGGTGGAGGTGGAGGTGGCGGCAGTGGGGGGAGTGGGGGTGGCGGTGGGAGTGGAGGTGGGGGTGGAGGAGTCGGTGGCGGCAGTGGAGGCGGAGGTGTCGGCGGCGGTGGCAGTGGGAGCGGGGGTGGCGGAGGTGGCGGCGGCGGAGGCGGAGGTGGAGGCGGCGGCAGTAGCGGAGGCGGCGGAGGCGGAGGAGGCGGCGGGGGTGGAGGTGGTGCTGGTCGCGGGTCTTCGCAGAGGAGTGGCTCCGGTGGTGGCTCGCGCCAGCAGCAGCAGCGTGGTCGTGACACCTTGTCCCCTCAGCAGCTTCGTGAGTGGTACACTGCGCGTCAGCGAGGTGGGGGTTTTGGTCCGTGCTCCTACGTTTTGCGCACCGGCGACCGTGCGGGTGAGCAGTGTGGGGGTCCCCACCCCACTCAGCGCTGCTTTGGCCGCCTGACGGACGCGTGGCGTCACCAGTTC